AGGTTGAGGCTAACTTAGTATCTATGTGTCATTAATGTTTGTATTCAGAAGTGATTATTAATACAGAAAGTGACTATTCTCTGATATGAAACCATTATATTGCTTTAGGAGCTATTTTTATTGCTTACATTTGTTTGTTTGTTTGTTTGTATAGTTGTCCATCTTGAGGGATCCACTCCCACAAAGTATGGTTTGCTTCTCAATAATGACGACAGATACAAAGCTGTCAAGAGAGAATTGTCAAAGTACTGTGGCCTTGTCTCTTCACAGCTTCTTCTGGTTGAAATATTTGGAGCTTCTGTCAGGGTAAAATACATATTACATGATGTAAACAAACACAAAACGGTCAGAACCAAGCTACTCTGTAGCTCATGCAAACACAAAAATAACATTAATTGTTCCTCTCACAATATTATTGTCACTTTGTTATTGATTGCAATGGGTGGACCATGTACTGCTGGTCTTCATCCAGCAAAGGTGTCAATTTACTGTGCAGGACTTAAGCAATATTATGGTTGCCTAGGAAATATTGTTGGTTGTGTGACTGCGTTGTGGTCAATTATTACCAAGGGACTATTATGAGACACAATGAGCAAGCCTAATGTAGACTATAATGAATCATGATTGTCTTTTGTTGTACAAAGTAGTTGGTTTCAACCAATGATATCATTATAATAATATTATAAATTTTTATGCTTAACAGAGCTTACCAACTGATATGCAGACGATCCGCACAGCCTTAGCTGGTGTGCTTTATGCCTATGAAATTGTTCTTCCTGCAATAGCTTGTGAAGATGATTGTAGTGCTTCCACAACTCCAGGTACCGAGGAAGAGAAAGGTTTATGCACTGATTGTTCAGCAGAATCTAACAACCCATGCTCTGTAAACCAAGGTACAAACTATTTTCTCCAGGATTAAGAACCCATTTTAAGAACCTAAATAGCCTAAAATTCTGTTAACTACCATTTATATAAGAACCTGTTTAGGCTAACTCCTAAAAATGTAGGTTCTTAGTTGCGGGTTTTTACTGTACGTAAAGTAGAACCTCAGTCATATTTTTACAAGATCCCTAAGTATGGTTTGTAAGTTTAAAAGATTCTTATTTAACTGTATATTGCTCTAGGTTTCTTAAAGGTAACAGACTCTAAATGTCAGAGGATTCTTTTGGCATTGGACACAAACAGGAGATCTACGACATCTCTCATACAGCAGCTGGTTAGTATTACAATTTCTTATTAGTACAACCAATCGGGTGTTCTCTTGCCAGTGGAGATTCTTAATAATAAATCTTACTTCATGTTTTTGTTTGTTCCTTGATTGCGATGGACTGGAAATATACGTCGGTGTGCCTTCTGTAAAGGACACAGAGAGCAGTTATTAAAATGAAATCTCTATTATACTTCAGGTTAGTTAATTGTTTTCAGCTTTTAATTGTTTTTTTTAAAATGCATTTTAAATATTTTTATCTTTTTTTTCTGTGTGACAGGAGGATACATCGTACAGCAGGCCAGGTAGTTCAAAGGTTGGATAGTGCTATCCAGTGGATAAATCACTCTCCAGCGGATAAGTATTAGGGATACCAATATTGCACCATTAAGTGGATAAAAATTTACTAGTGGACAGCGTTATCCACTGTTTGAACTACTGTAGGGGCCAGTACATAAATCAAGAAAGAAAAGCAGTGGGCAAAAAATTTCATTTTAGTGGTTCCATGAAAGAAGTTCATACCAACACAGAAAAGTGGGAACCCTTTTTGGCAGCATAATAATAAACAGTAAACAATGTTGAATAGCTTTCATGATTAAAGGTAGACGTACTTTGTTTAATTTGCAGATACAAGAGTAAGAAACGCACAGGACACAGCAGCTTACTCTTGGAAGTACCTTTGGTGGTCATAACTAATTACGCCAAAAAATCCTATGGGTTTTTATCCATAGTCTGGTAAGTTGAAAGCACTCAGAGGAAATCAAAGTAATAATGAATTCACATAGCTTAAATAATCACCTAAAAATAATGTTCCTCTCAAAACTTAGTGCCATCTTGAATACTAGGTTCTAGGTAATTAAACAGGATTATAGGTAACACATGTACAGTCCCATTGGGCTCATTCTCAAAAGTGATGATAGCCTCAGCATGACAATTTCATTGTGGGCCTTTAATTGATCTGCAACATTATGCATAATAAATTCTTTGTGGGCCTGTCATATGCAACATTGTACATAACAAATTCTTTGTGGGCTTTTCATCTGCAACATTGTGAACCTTCGAAGTTTCTTACCGGCTTGGCTTTTAGCATGTGTGAATTAATATTGTTGGGCTGCCTGTGCAGGCAACCCCCAATTAAATTATGAGCAGCGTTTGAGTTGAAAAATAGTCCTTTGAGAGGACATGAGCTTACTGGCTATGAATATTCTGTACAAAAACCATGTGCTTGCAAAACAAAATCGTTCTTCAAGGTAGTCA